GGAGCCATAGGAATTTTAATGTAGATTTCACTTTATAGATTTTTTTTTATGGTGATACATTTAGAGACATTAAAAATTCAAATATGATATAAAGATCTCATAATGAAGATTGTAATAAACATCTCGTTGGAGTCATTGAAAACATGGAGATATTTATTGCTTTTATTTAAAAATTTTAAAAGGTAGATATAATTTTAAAAATTATTTAATCTCAAGTTGTATGTCATGAGAATCTTTTTCATCCTTGTTCAAGTTTCATCTCCTTCTTTATAGATTATTAAAGGTATCATCTAGACACTAATATTTCAATCTTATTTTTCAGAGTATGATATTCTTTAATGTCACGACTATGCTTATAATAAAAGTGATAGAACTTATTAGAACTCCCTGTGCTTGTTCCACTTTTTATTAAAGATGGATGTCGTATGAAATTCTCTCCTTGAATGGCAACGAACACCTCAATATATGTAATGGTAAGAGGTGGGGTCAAAAGCTTAAAAAATATTAAACAATCATGAATTAGTCCTTTGGTGCTCCTTTTAAAGGATGCCTTGGTAAAAGTGTCCCTATCTGATGACTCCTGTTTTGTATACTTGAATATGATTCTCTATTACTTGTTTTACATTAAAGAGAGTCTTGTTAGGGAATGTATATAAGTGTTTTCATAACGAGCAATTATAGATTCCATTGATTAGGGTCTCAACGATAAGTGGCTCGAGTATATCTTTCATGTTTAGCATTTCCTCATTGAATTTATAAAGATAAGTTTTGGTGTTTTCATTTTCTTATTAAGTGAAAGCAATAAGATTAGTCGTGCTCATTTTCGCTAGAATACTAGTGTTGAAATGAGAGATAAGCTTGACGTGAATATCATAAAGGTTAATAATAGAGTTGGGTTTAAAGTTACAATACCATAACCTAGAAGATTCGTGGAGATTTATAGGGAGAATTTTGCATATAAAATAACATCTCTTTTATATTATGAGTTCTAAAATGTTTATAATATTTTGTATGTGCTTTTTGGGATATATAAGGTCATCTTATTTGTTCAAATTGGCCTACACAATGATATATTCTTTATAGAGATAGATGTGTAGCATTATGTGATAAAGTGGAGAGTCGCTCACCTAGTAAGAATGATGTTTATTCTTAGAATGTTGTACAATTGTTGATCTCATATCATATCTGTTTTTTTATTGGGGAGCATGCAAATAAGTTAGTCAAATAATGATTGATAGAGATAGCCCTATTTATAGTTAAGATATTTGGAGGAGTGTTTTTCATAACGAGAACGACTTTTTCTTAAAGTGAGAATATCATGCATATTTTGAATGTCATTTTGTTATGTTCCTTCATAAAATTAAAGTTGTCATTTTTGCCTTAGTGCACGTAACAAAGTTTTATATTGTATTTTCTATTGATGAAATGGAAGAGTGTGAAATTGTTCTTATATTGCTAGAACAATATTGTTCTCTCTTTGTCCTTTTAATGGAAGAGTTGTTGGAAAGCTAGAGGAGCTATAGTTTCTATGGTAGGGAGAGCGATTACTCTTTCTTATTCTGGAATTTCTTTAGCCATAAAAAAATACGACGGGTAAAAGTGAATGAACTAGCTTATGTTCATTTTCCTATAGACATCGTCATTAATGTAATTGAAAAAACTTCATATAAAAATTAGATTCTTTATGGTTGCATCTAGGTTGTTGGTGTGACTAGGCTTGACTTTAGGTCCATAAGCTTTCTTATAAAACAAGATCCTTATTGAAATAGAAGATCCTATGATGCTTAAGTTAGCATGTGTAAAAGGGTTGTGATGCATGTAAAAAGAAATATATGAAGAAAAATGTATGAAAAGAAAGAGTCTATAGTCTATTGCTTGCTTAGAATGGCATGACTTTGTATGGTTGGCTTTTATAGCCAAGGATGGGATATGAGTTTTGCTTGGTAACTAGGTTTATTTATACACTCAAACCTTGGACTTTCTTCAACGAGAAGGAGAGTGAATTATGCATAAAGAAATTAACGTGCCATCATTATCTAGCTATGGTGGCTTGTTAGTTATTATGTCTTACTATAATTTGTGTCATTGATAAAAATATTAGTGATGAGTAATGTCATGCATATCATTGGTAAAAATATCAGTGAAGGATAGTGTCATGAGTATATAAACTAATATATGCTTTGTATAGAAAAAGTTGTGTAAAAAAACCATCTATGTGAAAAGTTTGTATGTAGAATTCCAGAAATACTATTTTTTATGAATGTGGAGAGAGAGAGAGAATTGTAACTTAGGATAAGAGTAAACATATTAGGATTAGTATCAAGTTGAAAATTCTAGCGATTTGGATTGTCTAAATGGTGAGATATTTATTTATTTATTATTATTATTAATATTATTATGAGAACCTATCAAATTTTGTCAAAACAATTGCGGAAAGAAAGAAGGTGATTCCATAGAAAATAAAGCTAAAAGATGATCATTTGCATCCATATATAAATAAATATACAATTGATCGTGGGAAACGTGGAAGGTGTTGACACCTTTATTAGTCACAAATTAAACACCACTCATTACCCAATCGGTCTTCTATCAAATGCCATCACTATTTGAAAGAAGAAATAAAACGCACCCCACTTGAATGCCATGAAAGAATGACATGAAACTGAGGCATAACAGGCCAACCCATCCCCTCTCTATAATTTGTCCTGTTTACACAAAATTACGTGATGCCTATACAAATTTACAAAACAGACGAGAAACTCTAAGGACAAAATAAAAACAAAAACACTGCATGGAACGTGTCTGGAGCTTAAATGGATCCACCGCATCAAGTTTCTGCTTCATATTCTCACGGACCTTTGCCATGCCACAAGGCTTCGTGGTTGTCTGCATCTGTCTCTTCTCGAGCCACTTGTTGAATTCATTTCGGGCCCTGACATCATCGTCTTGAATTTTCCTAACCTCTTGCTCGACTAATAACCACTTCATATAATTTTCCTTGCCTCTCTGTGTTCTAATTATTAATTGGGTGTTTTTTCAGGGTTCTGGATTGGGCTGGCAGCTACAAAGTCAATGTAACTGAACAATTTAGAGCCTCTAATTTGATTATGATTGTGCTATGAGGCTCTCCTTTGTCGAGCCATCAAGACAATTAACAGTTCTATCTATCAATAAACAATCAGGTGTCCTATATGGCATCAGATTGATGTATGATGTATCTGGGTAATCAACATCAACTTTTAACAGCTAGATTCTCAACCATAAAATTAAAGACAGGTGTGCCAAAAGCATTGGTGCCAGAGTATGAATGGTTATGCCGGGGTCCATGGCGGATTCAGGCCACGAGATGTGCCACGGGTGTGGTTGCTGTCGCGCACTTTGTTGGCCTGTTATGGCAAATGGCAGCCACTTACGTCCGGGAATTCGCCCAGGCATATACACTACAAGAGCTCTGCAAGGCATTCTTCATTCAAGGGATTCTTATAGAACAGACATTCAAAATAACTCCCGGCTGATTGAGGTTTTTGAGGCCAGTCTGGGACTATGAAAATCAATTTTCTTGGCCGTAAGATTTTATTGTTATTTGAACACTTATTATTTTAAAGTTTATACTATTATTTCAAAGCTAGTTAACCAGCATCTTATTTAAAATAAAATAAAATAATCCAAGAGGACAGTATTATAGTGGTTTTTAAATTATTTCTTCAATAAATATTAAATGATCAATTTGAATTGTATTTTTAATTATTGACCAGTTAGTCAATAGAGCCCTTGAACTTTGGTCAAACCCAGCTTAACCCCTCACCTTTTGTTTTTCTTATTTTAGTCCTTACAACTATCATATGAAAGTATTGACCATCTCCATTAAAAACAGAGATGACTATGAATTGTATTTTTATCCATATTGAAAATTTCAAAGCTGAAAACTATTAATTTTGTTACTTCCTAAAATCATGGAGATTAGAAATAACTATGTTATTTTCCCACGTGGAGCTACAGGTCAAATCAAGATTATTTTAAATATAAAAAAATAATATTTAGATTGAAAAACTTTTTTGATAGTATAATTAAATCAAAATGAATAATAAAAACATATTTTGACATTAAATCTAGTTTGGTAGGTTAAAATTTAATATTCTTTAACCCGACTCCTTGCATTGTCTTGGTCATGTAATTTTTTTTATTTTATTTTGTGATCCTCTTTGTTTGAATTTTGTATATCCTTGACAAATTTTAACAAATTGATTATAAAATTGGGTAGAAAAAGGTTGAAATAAAAAAAATGTTTGAGGACGTAAATTTCACTGCTACATTGAATTCTCTAAATTCTTTAATATAGTTTGTAATATAATTGTAATATAATGAGAATAGTATCATCTTTAAAAAACAATAAAGTGATAAACATAAAATCAAGCGCATGAATGTTTTTAATTTCAGTCCATCTTACTGTAGAAACCACGAACGAACTTCAATCTATTTTCTTCTCCTTAAAATAAAATAGTTTGTTTTATTTATTCTATCCGTGACAGAGGAGCTTCACCTAGTTTTATACATATACATCCATATCAACAAGGTGATTAAAAATATTTAATGAAATTACCATGTTTTCTTTTCTTTTTATTCTCACATGTACTTGTAGAAATAAGGATTTTCTTTTCATAATGTATATTCAACTGTAGCGGTCAGCATAGAAAAGCTCGTTCAAACCTTTTCTCTGTTCTCCTTTTCTTCCTATTGTTCCGTGCTGCACAAAATCAACTCAAAAGGCTAATAACAGCAGGTCAGCGAATGCTGATGCTGATGTTGATTCAATGTCCTAAAATCTGAAATGAACATAAAGTAAAGTAAAATCACCTGCATGAAAGATCAGAAATCTTCTCCTATGGATTTGTCATCTTTACTGTGTTCATTTCTCAGATCATGACGTTTCTTTACACTGTTGCAAATGATGGATCTGATTATGAGAGAAACCTATGCGAATCCAAAGACATGTTTCTTTCCAGGTCAGTACATCTCTGTAATTTTTGTTTGAAGAATCTACACCTCCCTGTAATTTACTATTTTAGACTTCTACATGCTTTCAGCCCTTTTTTTTGACAGCTTTGTCATCATTAATTTTATGGTGATGGTTTTTCTTGCTGCCCTTGATTCTTGGATTTTAGTTGCGCTTAGATGGTGGAATGAGCAGGGTGAGAGTGTCAGATTTCAACTTCAAACATGATAATAATTTTTTAAGTTAGATGGTTTCTACAACAACAACAACAATTTATTTTTTATGTTCATTGATTCTGTGCATCTCATGTTTTTCCTTTTCTTTTATGCAGTCAGTCATTGGCTCGTCTGAACATGAAGGATTCTTGGCTAGTTTGGTGGACATTATTCCTTAATGTGCATTTGAGTAAATAAAAATTGGATGCCTGTCGCGTATAACCCATAAAATACTCATGGTTCTTCTTAGAATGACGGGTGAAGTTATTTTTGTTGCCAGTAAAAATCCTAGGAGCATACCAAAATTCTAAGGTATCTGAATTGCGATAAAATAGAGTAGAGATACTTGTTGTCTTATGCTCTGATTTTATTCATCTCATTTAAGCATAAAACTTTGGTGATGTTTTGCCTAATACCAGGTGTGCAAGAAATAAAAAAATGTTCGGATCTCTTGTTATTATGTTGAGATGTTGGTGTAGATGAGTGGTAAGGTATGCTTATATTATGCATTACATGAAAACTTGAAGGCTGCAAGAGAGGGTGAAGAACAAAGAATTTGAATTTGTCAACAGTACGGAGCAATATGGTTTCAACATGCTGCATATGATGAGGGCGATCAACGGCAAAAAAACTGTTGATTGATATGGTGAGAAATGAAGTAATGTTGTGCTATTTCTTGAAGGGCACAATATATAGAGGCATCCTCGTATTTGGACAGAAACTTAGTTGATTGTTTATCCCATGACTACCTTGGGAGAGGAAATAAAAAAGAAAATATTTGGTTAATTTCATATAAGCGTCAAGCATTGTGCCCTGCTGCTTGTACTGGGTCCTGTTTGCATTAATAAGTTCATGAAAATGGATAAATTACCTGTGGCTGGAAACCTCATATGCATTTCTCTTAGATTCTCTTCACTCCTAGTCTGGCACTTTACATGATTCTTATTATTATAGGCTGCTGCTTGGGTCATCCTTGGAATATTTTCAATTAAAAGGTTTGAGGCTGATTATGTCCTTGTAGTTGCTGTTTGTGGAAGCCTCAGCATAGCAAACATTGCTGGATTCACCAAGTGCCGCAAAGGTTTCGATATTTCAAACTTTCTGTGCCAGTATCATCCAACTTTTATGTCAATATCGGGAACGTTTTATCGTGTCAATATCGCCATGCTTTCTTTTGGAAGCATCTGCTGGGGATAAGATTTCAACTGAAAGTAAATACCATGCTGTTCTGACAAGTCTAGATGTCCTAAAATTTTTGCTTATTTGGAAAATGGTCACGTGTTACTGCGATCACCAGAACCATGAGACTTTTTTCATAAGCATGTCACGAATACAATTTTTACTTGCCTTTGACCAAGATTGAGAGCTGTTTCTGGCATAAAACCTTGGTGGAATAAATCCTATGTCGCTCAAAACAACAGTATTTTGCCTGCTTTACTGCAGTTTAGAAGTTGCATTTTTGGAGTGGATTTTGTCTATGTTCTTGGTTTATAATTTGATACAACACAGCATCGTTTCCTTAAAATTATTAGCATGAGTGATTTTACCCTCATGTTACTGTAGTTTGTTTTTCTTGGTTACTATGTGAACATTTAAAATTCTTTAAAGCAGTCTTATGCATAGCCACTTTGAAGCTTCCGTCAAAAACTAGATTTTCTTTTCTTGTACTGAAGGATGCTCTGTTCATATTCAGATGCCAAGAAGCAAATTCAAGGATTTGCATCCCAGGCTCTTGCGTCTCATTTCACATCTTCCATACCATCTGCACCTGGTGCAGTGTAAGTCGTCTAAACAGAAATTATCCAGATATATTACGTCTTTCTGTTTCTGTGATGGCCACTTGCGGATAAGTATGAAAGTACAGTCATTTTGGAATTTCCGAATCCCTTTTATTTAAAAAAAAATACACAAAGACATGAATATCATATGAAAATTGTTCTGTGATTCGACAATTGTTCTGTGATTCTCAAAGAGTTTTTAGCTAGCATTAAACATCTTAGTTTCCAAAATGGATTGTTTCCAAAATCTCATTCACTTGAATGCATGGCAAGGGATATATTCATGAAACACTATGATTCTTCTTTACTGAGTCAGCCTAAGAGGTCTTACTTTATGGCAGCCACTATAAAGTTCCTTAGAAGAAAAGTACAAAAAGGATCATGGGCTGTAAATGTTGTACAGCTTTTAAAAAGAATTAAAGGCAAATTTGGTTTTGGTGGGGTTACATTCAGCGAGCGAATAATGGAATTAGTGGTGGACTGACTAAACAGAACTTCTGTGAAAATGTAATGCTTTTAGGCACTAATTGCGGTGTTAAGACTTTCAAAGTCGGTTTAATTTACACGAATATGTTCGCAGTAGTTGGAGCTTTCTTGGCAAGAAATTCTGTTCTAGTTCTCCTCCTGTTTTCTTGTGCGGGGCGTGGGGTCTTTCTCGGGGTTGGCTTGCTCATTTGGGGCTCTTGACATCGCCTTCTCTTTATCTTGACATTTTATAGTCGAGCCCAAGAGCATGGTTTTGATAATTTGTTGAGACTTTACTAGTTAAGAGGCCTGACAAACTTTTGCCTCTTCATCCATCCAAGTTACTTGCAAACAAAAGGGAGCTACCATAAATGAGATACAATACAATAAAGAATGCTATAAAAATGTGTCCCCCTAGCTGGGCTTAGTGCGACACTGAGGTGCCTCAGAATCCTTGACTGCTGCACGCTGAGAATAATAAAGATAGTCGGACGTTTCCCAGCTAGTCCTGTTTAACTTTAAACAACAACGAATCTTATCCACAGCTTCAACAATTTGTTAAAATAAAATTATTTTTTATATACCGAATCAAAATAATTTAAAAATATAAAATTAAAACAAACAGGCCATTTTGACTGCCTTTCAAATCTCACAGCTTCTCTCTTCAATCACCTTCCTTCAAACAGACCATTTTGACTGCCTTTCAAATTTCACAGCTTCTCTCTTCAATCACCTTCCTTGAAAACTTGATAATTTTCAATTCCAAAAACTCCATTCTCCTACTACTGCCTATAATTTAAATACATACGAGACTAGTGGTAAGGAGAAAGGGTCCCGGCTACGGTAACCAACTTATTTTGTTTTTTTAAGGTATACACTCAATGATGCAGACTCAGTTACCTTAGAAATATTTTTCATCACATGTGCCATTTCTGAAACAAAACATGCTAAGTTATTATATTTTTAAAATGCGACATATTTAATTGTTGTTATTTTGAAACATCATAATTATTTTAAAATATTTAATTATTAGATAAGGTAAAAGAATATTATTTTACTAAAGAAATTTCAATTACTGTGATGATTTTTTTAGAACAAATCCCTCTTTCTCTGGGTAGAATATTTAAACGAATTTGATGGAAAATCCCGATTCCAAGGTCCATTTAATGATCATAATTGATGCTCTTGGTCTGAAGGAAAGTTACCTAGCTCATTTACTGTAACTTGCCAGGAATACCGCACCATGGTTGTCAAAATTAACCCTTTCCCCTGTCCTCCTCCTCCTCTTGAAGCATGCTTGATTCGTTGCATTTCGTTTTCTTTGAACTATGGTTTGGTACTCTGTTTCGAGTGTTTTTAAGATACTTGTCGGAAAAAATTTAATTTGAAAATGTAAGAAATTGTTTTTCAAACATAAAAAATATTAATTTAATGTTATAAAGGCTCTTAACTAGACGATCAAAGATATGGTCTAAATTACTGGATGTCCCAACAGTATTTCCATATTAATGACCCACGTATAGTTTAATAAAAACTGGATACCCTTTAGTTTAATTAATTTCTTTTAATCAATAATAAACCTAAATGTGCAGAGATTAATAACTGATGCATGTATTTTTCACATGATCCTGAAAGAAACAAATTGAGTGGACAAAGCTAGAACACCTTGGATGAGGAGTACAAGTAAGCTTTAGATGTTAATTTGAAGGTGTTTTCCTCCAGGGATTCAACTGGACGTACTCTTTGGAAATGAAACCATTTAATGCATGGCTTGAGTCTGAAACTCATGGCAGAGAAGGTGATCTTCCTCTTGACGGATCAAGAGGAGCTAGTGCGACAATAACGAAGACTAAAGTCGAGCAGGTCTTTTGGATTTATTCCTCCCTTAATCTTTTTGGGGAATTTTCTGCCGCACCCATTATCGGGTAACTAATGTTCTATTCGATCGACAATATTGCTTTTTGACCCTTTTGTTTCTTCTTCTTCTTCTTCTTTCTTTCTCGATTTAATTTAGTTTTTCACCATTTCAGTCAAATGTCATACAAAGTTTATGTTTCATAGAATCAATAAAGCGCATGATATAACTGTTCGTGTAATATTAGGATAATGTTTAAAATTGTAACCGTGGTTTTTTTATAAAGTTTAATTATAAATATATTAAAATAATATTTTCTTATTTTCTTATTTATTTTTAATATCAATATGTTAAAATAATTTAAAATTATAAAAAAATATAAATATTTTTAAAACATAAAAATAAATACATTCTAGTGGTGATACATCTTAGCAAGGGACTTTCCTAAATCATTAATGGACTTGTAGTAGCTAACAGCCATATTAACAAATACTTTAAAATGTGAGGGAAAAATATTTTAGCTTTTTTCATGTTTTTTTTCTGTTTTGATTTTTTTATAATTTTATTAAAAATATAATCATTAATGGACTTGTAGTAGTTAACAGACATATTAACGAGGCAAGAATATTTTAGTATTTTTCATGTTTTTTTTGTTTTTTTATAATTTTATTAAAAAAATTTATTAAATTTATTTTTTTAATATTATACTAATTAAAATTTATAATTTATATTTAAAAAAAAAATTATAAATTACAATAATTTTTCTCTATATAATTTTTTTATTTTTTCTATAAACCCATAATAACATACAAATATACCACAAGCCAGTAAAATCGCGCAGGCATGAGCTAGTATGGTGCCGAAGGAATTCGTAGTTGTGGAAAGTAGGGGTTCTAGAAGACAAAAGTTGAGACACTGGATACGTGTCAAAAGGGGAGAATCTGTTCTTTTCTTTGATGGTCTTCTATGCTGGTACGTGTCCCCCCTTGGGGAGTAATTAGATGAATTAAATTTAGGCCTAGAATCATTCCTTTAGTGCAATCATCCTTCAGAAAGTTCTTCAGCCTTTAATGCACTTGCAGAGGACACATAGCTTACCATGGAGCATTATTGTAGCCTTTTGGGAGGATGGATAGATTAGATTATGCACTTAATTTAAAGTGAGTTAACCCGTGGATACTATTATCAGCACTAGTCGTAATCTCAAATTTGGCTTGGGAGGAAATTAAATAAGGTGGAAGAGAAGTTACTGCTTGGAGGAGCATATGTTTCAAGTTCACTAGGAAATCCAACCAACTGATAGAAGATTTCTATAAATAAAAAGGTGAGATAATTAATAGACATCTACTTGAAACTTTGTTACTGTACACCCTCTTAATTGTTAGTCGAATCCAAGATGCCCCCTCTAATTAAAAAAAAAAACCATCTTTAATTAATACCCAAATCATTTTAACCCGTTGTTTATACTAATTTAAATACCTCATCTTCCTTTTACTAAATATATCAATCAAGACCTAGCTCAAATAAATAACCATTTAAATTATAAACTCAATAAATATACCATATTATTTTAAACACCCAAGATTTACACATAAAGACGGAGCCAGGAATTTTTACTCTCCTTAACTATCAAGCAAATATATATAAATTATTTTACAAGATCAATCATTAACTTGTATATATAAATTTATCAAGTTAATAATAAAGTTTTAATTCAAGTTTAAAGTACATAAAATTAAAAAAAAAATTACACTATCAAAATTGCACCTTTCATATTTTGTGGAATATAATTCATCTATAATTGAATCTAAATCAATATCTTCATTAAACTCTCGTTCAAAGTAAATCATTATAAAATATGCTAAAAATTAATTTTTTATTTTATTACAAAACACAGTTTTAACATATTTTATTATTGAAAATGTTCATTTTGTGGTAGTAATAAAAATAAATAAAGTCAAAATAAGATGAATCAACTTGTCAATTAAATAATAGTATTGTGATGTATTTATTTTAACTAATTTTCGACATAATACAGACATGATAGACATATTCTAATCTACTAATACTCTATCTCATATCTCAAATGATATATCTTTTATTCATTGAAATTTTTAAGATAAAATTTTTTAATAAGCATGCAATAGCATCATTTGATGGTCTTCTATGCTGGTACGTGTCCCCCCTTGGGGAGTAATTAGATGAATTAAATTTAGGCCTAGAATCATTCCTTTAGTGCAATCATCCTTCAGAAAGTTCTTCAGCCTTTAATGCACTTGCAGAGGACACATAGCTTACCATGGAGCATTATTGTAGCCTTTTGGGAGGATGGATAGATTAGATTATGCACTTAATTTAAAGTGAGTTAACCCGTGGATACTATTATCAGCACTAATCGTAATCTCAAATTTGGCTTGGGAGGAAATTAAATAAGGTGGAAGAAAATTTACTGCTTGGAGGAGCATATTTTTCAAGTTCACTAGGAAATCCAACCAAATGATAGAAGATTTCTATAAATAAAAAGGTGAGATAATTAATAGGCATCTACTTACTGTACACCCTCTTAATTGTTAGTCGAATTCAAGATGCCCCCTCTAATTAAAAAAAAAAAACCATCTTTAATTAATACCCAAATCATTTTAACCCGTTTTTCATACTAATTTAAATACCTCATCTTCCTTTTACTAAATATATCAATCAAGACCTAGATCAAATAAATAACCATTTAAATTATAAACTCAATGAATATAGCATATTATTTTAAACATTCAAGATTTACACACAAGAGTGGAACTAGGAATTTTTCCTACCATAAGCCATCATAAAGATATACATAAATTATTTTCCAAAATCAATCATTAACTTGTATATATAAATTTGTTAAGTTAATAATAAAATTTTAATAAAAATAAATAATAAATTACACTATCAAAATTACACCTTCCATGATTTGTAGAATAGAATTCATTTATAATCGAATTCAAATCAATATCTTCATCAAGCTCTCGTTCAAAGTAAATCATTGTAAAATATGCTAAAAACTCATTTTTTTTATTATGAAATATAGTTTTAACATATTTTATTATCGAAAATGCTCACTTTGTGATGGCAATGAAAATAGACAAAGTCAAAATAAGATGAATTAACTTGTCAATCAAATGATAGTGTTGTAATTTATTTATTTCAACTAATCATTAACATATTATAACAGCTCTTATGATGAATCACATCAATCTAATAATGATTTATTTGAGATCTTAAATAATACATCTTTTATTTATTGAAATCTTTAGGATAAAATTTCTTAACAAGAATGCACATAGCATCAACTTTAAATGATTTAAAATTGTCCTCAGGTTTTAAAGTAGAACTAAGTATAAGGAGTTTTGGTGTTCCTTATTGAATCTAGAATTTAATTATTCCAATTAAAAATTTATTGTTGAGTTAAATATATCATAAAGATAATATTGGTAAAATATTACTGATTCTTATTATTGACATAAATGACATGTAATTTTTTTATACGAAGTATTCATACATGGTATGTTAATCTTATATCGTATATAAATAGATTGCACATATAAAAAAAAAAAAATTAAATCCAACATCTCTTAAAGTTCAAAACAACACTTTATTAACTAGTAAAAAATAAGATATAATTAAATTAATTTTCAAGTTCACAAGTAGGAGTACTCCGTCCTTTTCAAGAAGATAATACTTTCTTTTTATCTAATAAAAGATAGATTATTCAAATCTAAAATTAATGAAAATTATTCAATTTTCTTAATTAGAATTTCACTAGTATCTTATTTAGGTTATTTTATAATAATAATTTTATCTTCCCAATTAATATTTATCTTTCTTATTTTGTAAGAGAATTTATTGTAAAAGCTCATAAATTACCATATAAAATAATTAAATTTTAATAAATATATTAACAAGATTTAGTTAATAAATATCACAAGAAAATTAGTTAGTTTTTTAAATTTTAATTAAACCAAGATTAATATATTTAATAACATTGTGCTTGTAATACCATAATATGTATCGATCAAAATCTTTTAGTTTATGTATTAAAATTCAAAATGAATTTATAATTTTTAAAATGTTAAAGATAAAGGAAAGAATATAATTTAATTATTTTTGTTAGGGTTCTCCATGAAGATACTCTTATTAATTTGTTAGATAAAAGATAGATTATTTATATAAAAACTTAATAAAAAAAATTTAATATTTCAACTAGGTTTTTAATAAGTTAAGCATTTTGATTATTTGCTAAAAATTATTTTGCAATTCTAAATAATATTAGATGGGAATACTAATGTCAAATTAGGACTTTTTGATAGGAATATATTTAGAAAAAGTTAATTAAGATTCATTATCATTAAGAAAAAGAATTATAACTTATTCAAAAAATAATTTTCTTGTGCTTAAAAGGGGAAATGTAAAAGAAAAGACCCTAGGCTCCATATAAATAATTTTTGCTTTTAAAAGTAATTTAGTTATTTTGTTGTGAATAAAAAAGTTAAAAGAACAAATTATTTTTTAATAATCTGATAATAATTAATAAACATCATGCAAAAAACAATTTTACTCTTAATAAATAGTTAATTGATTTTTCTTTATAAAAGTAAAATGGTAATTGTACTATTTGTGGTGAATACATGTCTAGGGATGCATTGAATCTTCCATGTCAATCAATATTTTTTTTCTTTTTAATTTTAATATGTGTATATATGTGTTAAATCTGAATATTTTTAGATTCACTTGTAACTTAGTAATATGGTAACTTTGTGTTTGTTCTTAATTTTATTTTTTTTCATCCTTGAGAGAAAAAGGCAGGAGAAGGAAAAGTGAAGTGGAAAAATGGTAAAAATTAATGAGAAAAGAAAGTACTTTAAAAAAAAATAACCACTTGAATGAAGATGATGAACGTAAACTAATCAAAGAATCACGTAATTATTATCATAGGAATTAATTAATTAATTAGCTTTGATAAAACTATAAGAACTCAGTCAGTTATAGTAAACTCAATTTTGTGGAATCCTTTCTTTCACCTGCTTCTTGATTTTGGTTTTTTCAGCAGCAAACAAATTTCTTGGACCAGTGCGGTTTCTTCGCGGTGCCCTATGGATAGGGGAGACACTATCTTGAAGCACCAGAGGCTAAGGAGCTTGATATAGTGGTCGGTCACACAAACGTATGATCCTCGTTGAAACCATGGGCTGTCATCATAGTCACATGTTGCAAAACATTACAAGATATCCGAACACTTTGAAAAAGAAAATGAAAAAAAAAAAAAAAAAACACAAAGGACGATGATGAACTTGACATCTTGAAAAAGGGTAGCACTCAGCACTCAGCACTCATCTTCGAATGCTTCACACCAGTGTTATTAAAAAAACAAGTTCATCTTTAAAATCTTGTAATTTTATGCGTCATTATCTATCTAATATGTTAAATTAAATTAAAAGTTAAAAATTAATAAAATCACTTGAATTAGTTAAATTATGTAAAATCAATAAAATCAGATTGATTTTATAAGTTAAAAAAAATATAAAATTATATATTTTGATAATCTGCATCTTAATATTTTTATTATTTTAAATTTATATCTTGTAAAACTTGTGTAATTTGATAATTAAAAACTTAATTTTAATTATAATTATTATAATTTTTTTAACGATACAAGTTATAACTAGAATACCTATTCATTCTTCACAATTTTTTATATAAATTATTAACATATTAATTTATATATTACTTTGTTTTAGCTGGTAAATATATAGAATAAAAGTTATAAATTGATATGTTTGATTTTAGAGTAATTAATGTTAAATAGTGTATCAAAATTTAAAGGGACTCATTTCTTGTAAATATTGAAATAAGTGGATCAATTTGTAAAAAAAAATAGAGGATTCAATGTAAATAAAATAAAAGTGTTTGGAATTTTCTATTATTTATTTTATTTTTATTTTATTATATTGTTAATTACTACTTAATTGAAATTATTAATATATAATTAATTAAAAAAAATTACTTATGATTTTATAATTTTACAATTTAAATTTATATTATATATTTAATATCATAACATATCAAAAAAAAAAAACATATTCACACACAAAAACAAATCATCTTTGAACCATGGTTTTCATCATCATCATTATCATCATCATCATCTGTGGACCATGATTTTCATCATATGATTATACCCTCCAACTTGTGCCTGTGTGCATCTGTTAGAAATGTTGAAAAGTCATGGGGTCAAACTCCAAACGTGGGATATTCTAAAAAAAGATAAGAGAACTTTATAATTTATACAATAGTAAAGTTGAACTGAGCATGATAATTAACTAGTTCCGCGTCGCACAAAACATGCTAATCTAGTTGAAAAATAGATTATCATATTAGTAATTAAACTTGCTCTCCCTCGGTTTTTTTCCACTTGGCCACACTCTTATATAATACTCCCTTATCCATGATCAGTTGTCCTTCAAGACTAATCCACACTAGAATCCCCCCAACCCCCCTCTCATCCTACCCAAAACCCCAAACTCCAATCTCTCTCTCTCTCTCTCTCTCTCTCTCTCTCTCTCTCTCTCTCTCTCTCTCTCTCTCTCTCTCTCTCTCTCTCTCTCTCTCTCTCTCTCTCTCTCTCTCTCTCTCTCTCTCTCTCTCTTTCTCTCTCTCAAAATCCTAATTTTTATTAGTAAGGAATGGATGCTCGATTAAGAAAGCATGGTCTAGCAAGTACTGAAGATCAGGATATGGGCACGAGGAAGGGACCATGGACAGTTGAAGAAGACTCCTTGCTTGCTCATTACATTACCAACCATGGTGAAGGTCACTGGAATACTGCTGCTCGCTGTGCAGGTTAATATTAGAAATATTTGAAAGGACTTGCTTTCCCAGCATCACAATTTTCACAGGCATAAGTATATTATCAGTTCTTATTTGATTTTAGTGCTGATTATAAACATTTGCAGGGCTGAAGCGGACAGGTAAAAGCTGCAGATTAAGATGGTTAAACTACTTGCGCCCAAATGTTAGACGTGGGAATATAACCCTTCAAGAGCAGCTCCTGATTCTTCAACTCCATTCTCACTGGGGCAACAGGTATATATATTCGGCTACTCCTTGCGATATAATTACTGCATGATTTGTTTTGCTAAGAAGAGCGCTAGCTTACACTAATAATTAATATCTGTTTCTTCTTGAAACATTTAAGGTGGTCGAAAATAGCACAGCAGTTACCAGGGAGAACGGACAACGAGATAAAAAACTACTGGAGAACCAGAGTCCAGAAGCAGGCAAAGCAGCTTAAATGTGATGTTAATAGCAAACAATTTCGAGACACCATGCGTTATGCTTGGATACCCCGGCTAATTGAAAGGATCCATGCTGAATCCGAATCTCCAGTGGATCAACCCATCATCAGCACTCCCACTTACCATTCCAGCCAGATTGACATCCCCGCTGCTGCAAGTGAATCCGGGTCGGATTTGATAGGCCCGAATTTCATGCCCGATATATCGGGTAGCTGTACTTACTCAGACTCTTTGGATGCCCAGGTTTCTTCCGGGTCGGACCTGACAAATTCTCAAAACCCACCCTGTAGTCACTATATGCAAAACGGGGCATGCTCATACCCGGAAAATGATTCGCTGTCATGGGATTGGGACCAGCATAGAGTGGATATGCAAGGCATGGAGCGAGGAAGATATGATTTAACAGGTGGCGGTGACTCCATGGAGAATTTGTGGAGTGAAGAGAATATCTGGTTCTTGCATCATCAGCTAATGTGATCATCGTGATTGACACATGGAGGCTTAGGACTTGTGAATCAATCCGTTTAATTACGTGACGCATCAAGGCATTCAACATTTTGCGATTCTACATGCGATCAAAGGTCTCAATATTAATTTATGTAAATTTCATATGGCATGGTGTGTGTGCATAGGCGGACGTAACAAAATCAATAAAGTGCTTCGATTATATATAGATGAGCAACCATCACTTGCTCCCTTCCTCTCTCTCCACCTCCAAATTTAAATTAATTATTTCACTCTCAAGGGGGTAATTAGGATCGCAACGATAAGTTCTTTATTGCTTAAATCACTTGTAAGAATTTCGGTCATAATATGTAAGAGTGTCTTCATATAACTAGCAATAGTTACCAAGATGATACTTATCATTAAAAAAAAAAAAGTTGATATCATGAGTCATGACAACTATACTTCACCGCCAAAGTCTAATAATATAGAGTCGGATTGGTAGAGGTCCGGACCCATGGTTGAAGGAAGAGGTTTCTGGTGAGACCCTTTTGGAGTTTGAACTTGGCTCGCCTGGTGGGGGAGGAGGAAAAAACCAGTCACTTGTGTTTTACGGTCTGAACATCAGTTCAAGAATGGATCTGCAATTAATTTTAAGTGAAAAATGCAAACAACAAGTTTATCAAGGGAACACGACCTAGAAGAAGGATTGGTCGGCAAGTTAAGATCAAAGGAAGGAAAGTGAATAAGAAATCATCAATCGACATAGTATTTGGCTGCCAGTTTCACAAATTACACATTTTATGTAAAGTGTTTTGAAGTCAAAATCCTCTAGAACGGCAGACTAGCTAATTAACACAGAATGTAAACGTGGATGATGGATGCATTGACATCAGACGGGTCCCTCCCCGCAGCCATGATGATTAATTCAGCGGTTGGTAAAGGCTTCCTCGACTGAAGCACTAGCTGCCGCAACTCTTGAAACAAAGCTTTCCTGAGATGCTAAGAAGTCTATTGGCAATCACTCATTGGGCAAACGAATCTAATACTTCAATACGTATACGGTATACCTCAATGTGAACATCAACGAAGACCGATCAGAGTCAGCTGTAAAATTATCAAGCATGTTGCACTAGTCATAGTCATAGTCATAGTCATAGTCATTTTTATTTTCTTAACACCATCGTCGTCCATCAGAACAAAAAAAAAAATTTCCGATCCAGTTTAATAGATGTATTCATGAGAAATTAAGAAGTAAATCTACAAGTCTTTGTAAATACTACAGAGGTTTTTCTATATCGTAAAAAAAATTGATGCTTGGGCACTGCAATGATGTTTCAAAGAATGAAAAAAAATCATTTTTATAGAAAAACAGCAACAGTAAATGAAATAATTTTTTTAAAAAATAATAACAATTATAAAAAAAAATCAAAATTAAATCACAAAATAATTAAATATTAAAAAATTAAATTAAAAATAACAAAATATATAAAATATTTTAAATCAATCTAAATTAATATTTGTAACTCGAAACCCAAATAATAAAATTACAGTCAACTTTATAAAAAAAATTAAAAAATTAATTAATCCTCAAGAATCTAAAAATCAAAATAAAAAAGAAATATGTGAACTAAAGAAATCCAAGAAAATAAAACACCTATAATCTGTAGCAAGTTTGTCAAATCTCATGGTGTGAATAGGATAATTTAATAAAAAATAAAATAAAAAAATAATAATTAGTAATTAATTGATTGTGATTGATTGACACTCTAATAACCTGTTTGTCTACACGTTAATCTTAGCGTTTCTTAAAAAACGCACTAGTTAGCCATTTGGTTGCGAATTGGTGAAAAATAAAAAACGTGGATCCCACCATTTATTTGCAGCAAAAACTTGTTTTCCAGGAAGGAGGAAATTTATGCTTTTCAAAATCGCTAATTACACTGTTACGTGAACAGTATAATTACATGATTTTTTTAAAAATGTGTTAATTTTTTTAATAGTTTTTTTAAAAAAATTAGTTTAAAATAAATTAAATTTACTTATATTATGATGATGTGAATAATGTTTTTCTAAAAATCTAGTATACAGTGAATTAAATTCATCAATTTTATACCTGATAATATTTTATCTAATTTTATTACACGCTTAAAAAATTATAAAATCGTAATTCTTATCGGATGAATTTTGTACGTAATGAAATTATAAATAGTTTAATAGAATAATAAAAATTATTTTATATAAAGTATATATTTTATTAATATTAATATATATTTTTTAAATTATTTTATAACATGTATTTCAAATGCATTATTAACAAAATATATTAAATTATTTTTTTTAATTTCATTTTCAACCATAGTTTTAACCAAATATCTATTTTTTTAAACTAATCTCAACTAAAAATATTTTTATAAAATATTTTTTTTTAAATTATAACTATAACAGCTGCCACGATACAAAACATACCCTAAAATCACTAATCTTCACTGTCTTTTTATAGAGTTTGCTATGGTTAATTTAAGTTACGGTAATTATACTAGTGTTTTCAAGTTACAAGCTATTAAATATTTATATTTATTATCTGGCAGTAACTTATTTTACCACTCGGTAACTTAAATAATTATCTTATAATGATACTAGTTACTAGTATTATTGTACAGTCACGACTTGAGATTTACAATGCTAATTTTAAAAGTAAAATAAATATCATTTACTTTGTAACGAGTAAATGATTAATAGATAAGATAATATTTTTAATAAAGAAGTTAGTTAAATTACGAGAAGATAAAATAATATTTTTAATAAAAAAAATTTGTAAAGAAACCCTTTGTAAGTGGTTACAAATATCGCATCCTGATTAATATTATATTATTACTTCACAACCCTAATTAAAGGCATTATAATTAAGTGATTTGAAGTAACCATGCATAGCAAACCCAACCCTTTTGTTAACAATTAAGTTAGGACTTAGGACCTGTACAGGCTCCTGTTAAGTTACATTTAAGATTGCCGAAGAAGCTTTTATTCAAGAGGTAGTTATTAGATAAATGTCACATGCTATATTCTAGATCAGGCCAAAATGTTTTGGAATGTGAAACAAAAACAATATTTAAATAAAAAAAAATTCTTTCATAGTACTATTAAGCTTACCCTAAAAGGTTAAATTTAAAATATCCTGACTGAACTTCTTACATAACTACTCAATTTTAAAATCAAGTTGTCTATGATTTTTTTATATATAATACCATTAACTTTACATGTCAAAAACCAACCTAAACACTTAATAAAAATATAATTTAATTTCTAAAACATCAAAATGACGAAATATTAAATCAACTTTTATCAACTTATTAATTCATTAAACTCAAGATCCTAGTTGTGGACTCTAGTGGATTTAATAAAATATATTTAATGAAATATATTTTTATTTAATTATATGATAATAAATTGATACTCAAAATATCAAGCATTAATTCAATGTCAAGATATTTGTTTAAGAATCCGATAACATTATAAAAAGCAAACTGAAACAAATTATAAAATTTAATTTTTAATATTTTTTAATTAAGAAACAAAAGGATTTTATTTATGCTTTATAAAAATATTTACAAAATATATGAACTGATAAATAAAAATGAGTTGTTAACACTAATTAAATATTAAAGTAGGAAGCTAATCTTCATAGTAGAAATAAAAAATAAATGTACATGCAAGTGTTTTACACCAATTATCCTTTTTATTTTAAGTTTGTTTATATGACAAATTAAACTAATCTCTTCAAAATATTATGCAACTAAAAAAAGTAAGGGAAAAAAATTAATCACTATATAAAAAACAAAACTAATTTAATAGAAAAAATTAATGAAAAGGAATAAAAAACAAAGAAAAAAAGTTAAATACTGATAGCCCACATACTTAGCCTAAAAAAAATAAAACAAATAAAAAACAAAGAAAAAAAGTTAAATATTGATATAGCCTGAAAAAAAATAAAACAAAAAGCTCAAACTTGCACTTATACTAGGTTATTATCTAAAATCTAGCCACCATTATGATCGTTAAAAATTGGATATGATTTTTTTTTCTAAAACTTTATTTTTCAACATCTATTCACCTAAAAGCATTATATATATTTTCCATAAACCACGTTTTAACCTCAAAATTGCTATGAAAATCAACCGAATGAAAAAATATAAATGGAACATAATCAATTTTTTCAAGCATGATTATAAAAAGAAAAGAAAAAACTATCATCAAATGAACATTGTTGATATAAAAAATGATGAGTTTTATTATCGAAAAATAATCTTTCACTAACTTTCTTTTTTGTTTATTTCTTTTCTTTATCAAATTTAGAAATTGAAATGTTAAAAAAAATGAACTTTTGGACCAAAATAAAATTGAAAAAACTAAGGGAAATGTAGAATACTAAAAAATAAAATAAGTTGATTAATTAAACACAATTTTTTCATACAAATTTAAGATTGGCATGGCATTTATCATTGTTATTTACAAAAAAGAAGAAGTTATACTTAAAAGTTTAAGTTGTTAGATGAAATCTCATAAAGACTAGTACATAATTACATTACCTTATATTATTTATTAACTTTAATTAGAATAAAATAAAGGTAATAAGATTTGAACTCGTAATTATTTAGTTTATAAAACTCTGATATCATGATAAAAAATCGATTCAACCTTAAAAAAAAACTTTAATTTGCTTAATGAATTCAATTATAATTAATAATATTGAAAATTATTTTTCAAAAATATTCATCCCTTTCTTTTCTTTCGAAAACCAAAATTGCCAGACATGAGCATATCTTCTTCCACTTCTTTAACTCTCACCAATACCAACAAAACCACAACACTCATCATGAAGAAGAACAACAATTAAGCAAACCTGACCATGCCATTTCTCTTCTCCAAAAAAAAAAAAACGCAAAGAACCAATACAACTACACACCCTTCTCGTAAAAACCTCTTTTATCAAAGAAAAATCATGCATTTGGCAGCCTTTTATTGTCATTTGCTTCATTTAACAATTTTTGCTCTCTTAATTATGCTGAAAAATTGTTCCATACTGTCGATATCCCAAAAAACTCATTAATTATGTATACTACCATGATAAAAGCCTAACCAAATTTTGGTAATCCAAAGGAGGCGTTTGTTTTTTATTCAAGAATGCTATGTGATAAGAATCATGTGTATCGTAATGATTTACTTATA